ATGGTTTCTCTGTGGCTGCACCACAGAGATGAACAGAGAAATGAGGCCTAATTTGGGAAAGCTCAGAAACACTTAATTCTGCCTTATTAATAAACCTCGCCGCTACAACCTGAACCAGGCTCCTGCTATGTTCTGCTGCAGAGATATAACAAAATGTTTAAGGGGAGGAAATTCCAGCTGGACATTTGCTAAAAGGGTCTTCGCCACAGGTTTTAAAACAAATATCAGTTGAAAGCACTCAATAGCGAAAAAATAAAAACACACCACAGTGTATACAATATTATGACTTGAGTAGGTGTAAGGAAATAACCTCACATGATCTTATTACAGGCACACTTGTGAATCAAGAAGGTAATGTTAAGCACAACTTTTTTGTGAGAGTTAGCATTTGCAGTGGTTTTCTCAACAATCCTACTACTACCTGGTAAAAGTGAACAACTACAAATGTTAATCTGTCAACAGTACAGACAGTTGAGAACATGGGACATGACGTGCAGAAAATGACCTTTCATGGCCACTTGAAGCATTCCCAGGGCAAAGATCATCTGTACAGTGGGGCTGACTACATCTGAATAAGATGAGTAACAATGGCTCAAAGATCCAGAAAGAAATCAAGACATAGGGTATTTAAACTAGGATGGAAGAGGGCATAAACCAAGAAAATCCAAAATGAAGTTACATCTGGTACAAACACTAAAGGAGAACCAAAGGAGAAAACAAAGGAACATTTAATTAAATAATTATACCTAAATATTAGGAAGAACAAAATACATAAGATACTGTAGAAGCTACCACATTACAAGACAATTGTCAACTTGGCTAACTGAAAAATTGAAATGAATTTAACATTATAGCATTTTATATTGTGTTAGGTTATAGAAGCAATTATTAGAATTAAATTAGTTCATTAGCTAAATGGAAATAATATCTCAGGAATGCTCAACATAGGTTTAAAAAAGTATGGCCTTGCCAAACCAACTTCTTAGAGTTTTTTAGAACAAGCAACAACAGAAACAGATATACATAGGACGTATGAAATGTTGAACATGCGGAGCATGGCAATTCACAGTTGATTACTCAAAAGCTAAGCAATACATCAACCGTCTCACCCCCTTGGTAGCAGATCCCTCTATTTTTCAACTGCTGATACCTGAGTACCAGGTGTTTTCAATAATTGACATGGCTAATGGGTTCAGGTCCGTTCCTCTAAATCCAGAGGTACAAGATTGGTTCGTTTTTGTTGTAGATGGAGAACAATATACTTGGACAAGGTAACCGCAGGGGTTTTATAACAGCGAAATTGCGAAAGAGCGAATTGACAGAAGATCGGGCCCAGGCAATCCGAACATACCCTAGTCCCAACACTGTGAGAGAGCTTCGATCATTTCTGGGTCAGTGCAATTTCAATAGAAATTGGGTTGATGCTTTTTCTGAAAGGGCCAAACCACTCACAGACCTATTAAAGGGGGGAAGGAGGTCCCTTGATCCTATTGCTTTGAGCCCTGAAGCTGAACATGCTTTTAATGATTTAAAACAAGCTCTGTTACAGGTTCCTGCATTGGGGCTCAACCGTTCTACCTCTATATACTGTAAGTGAAAAGAATGGATTTTGGACAGCTGTACTAACACAGGAACATGAGGGTAGGTACCGCCCGGTAGGGTATTACTCTGGATCCTTGGACGAGGTAGCGAGGGGCTGGGGACCATGTCTACGTGCCGTTCAGGCCGTCTGTCTAGCAGTGCAGGCAGTTAATAGCATAGTGCTCGATCAGCAACTGATTGTTCGATGCCCCCATGCGATACATACCCTCATGTCCCTGAATCGGGTCAGTCAGGTTAATGGGGTACGATGGAGCAAGTGGCAGGTTAGAAGCTCCAAATATTGCTATTGAACGTGAAGGAGCTCTAAATCCAGCCACATTGTTACCTGACTCCTCAGAAGCCTATCTGTTAGAACACAGCTGTGATGTTTGGACTATGGGAGAGGAGCTACCACTCAGGAGGGAAGACCTCATCCTCTTCATTAATAGAACCTCATTTATAAATTGCAGTGGGGAAAGAAAAGCGGGTTGGGCTGTGACTACAGAACATGATATCCAATGTGGGGGACGATTTGAGGTACCAACGTCAGCTCAGCGAGCTCAGCGAGCTGAGCTGAAGGCTTTGGTGGAAGCCTGTAAATTGGCAAAAGGCAAGACCACCACGATATACACAGACTCACGATATGCGTTTGGAGTATGCCATGACTTTGGAAGGTTATGGAGTAATAGGGATTTTTTTACTCTGCTGGCACTGCTGGCACACAGTAAGAATGCTGATTTGGTGTCTGAGCTGCATGAGGCTCTCCAACTCCCAAAGCAGGTAGCTGTGGTCAAATGTAAGGGCCACAGCAGAGAGAACACTCCCGAAGCCAGGGGCAATAAGCTGGCAGACTGGACAGCATGTCAAGCTGCCTTG